AAAAACATCCAAGTTAGTCCTTCAGGGCTAAGCCAGTCCTGAGGGGCCAGGAAGCAGTCTATTCCCATTCTACCATTTATTGAGGCTTGTGAAGTGTCACACATCCCAGGTCAGTTCCTGATCACCCTGTGTCACGACCCCTCTCCTCCCCTCCCTCCAGCCCTGTGTTCAGCAGATCTTGGATGTTGTACCCTGCACTGGCTACATAATTTGCAGAGCCTGTATGAAATGAAATTGTGGGGATCTCCCTTAACAAAATTAAGAATTTCAACATGAGGCCCGGACAGTGGCTCACATCTGTAATCCCAGCATATTGGGAGGCCAGGGTGGGAGGTTCCCTTGAGCTCAGGAGTTTGAGACCAGCCTGGGCAACATAGTGAGACCCTATCTCTACACAGAAGAGAAAAAACAACTTAGCCAGGTGTGGTGGGGCACACCTGTGGTCCTAGCTACTAAAGAAGCTGAGGTGGGAGGACTACTTGAGGTTGAGGTGGCAATGAGCTGTGTTTGCACCATTGTACTCCAGCCTGGGCATCAGAGTGAAACATTTTCTCAAAAAAAAAAAAAAAAAAAATCAAGGTGTTGGCAGAACATTTAGGGCCCTTCTGAACCTGTCTGCATGAGTCCCCTGCCCTGATGGTACCCTGTCCCTGTCTCCTGTCCCTGCTCTATGGCTGCCTTATCACGCTATGGAGTCCCATTCTGAGGATGACGATTGCTTGTACTCTGTCTGAGCCACCTTGGGCCACTCAGCTGTCCTCAAGGAGCCTCCTTCTGAAGCCAGAACGGTTGAGTATCCTCCTGTCTTCTCTCATGGCCTCTTGCACATGACCTGGGAGTCAGTTTGCCTGCACCCACGGTGGGCTCTGCAGTACGTCTGGCTGCTGCAAGAGCTTACTTATACCAACAAGGTGAGCATGGTAGCCCCAAGGCCCTGGTCCAGTGGAGGAGCCAAGATCTGATGGCCTCCAAGACCCCTCAAGCCCTGAAGTTCTATATTTAATTGAGGCTGGCATGTACTGTTACACCTATTTTCACAGATGAGTAAACTGAGACTCAGAGAATGTCAGTGGCTGCAGCAAGGTCATGCAGCTCACACTGCTGGTTAAGAGTTTCTTTCAAGTGCAACGTAGGAAAATGTACGACATTTATTGGTTTTACTTTTGATAATACTGGCTCATATACAGTTACCTGCTAGGGCTCCGTTAAGATCAGGACTTTTTTTTTTTTAATAGCTTTGCTGGCTAAGTTTCAGTTTCGTTTCATTTTCCTCCTAAGTTTCAGTTCTGTTTCTCAGGATATTGTCTTCCCCTTTTTACTAGTATTATCTGATTCTGTTTGTTAGAATTGTTCCTTGGTGCCCTTTAACTTGATTAAAATGAACAGTGATTCTAAGGCAGGTATTCCCAAGCAGGAATTTTAAAGAGGTAAACTTAGTACCTTGCCAATTTATTCCAGCATTGGCAAAATGTATCTGCTTCAGTAGAGCATAAATTTGTCCAATAGCTGCCTGAGTACCTATGTGTTCGTGGCTTGATTTACCTTCTCTGTAATTCCTGGATGTTAAAAGGACACCAAGAATCTCTGACACACTGATTAGCCTACCTTGAAGGACCCAAGCCCAGTATTTCTGCCTTTGCCTGGAAAAAGGACTGATTCAGAACTTCCTCAGCTAACTAGTATTCTGGCCATAAAGTGGAGGAAAGGAATCTATAATCCCATTTTCTTCTTTTTCATTCATAGCTTATTCTCAGTTCTGCAAAAATCCAAACTGCCCCAGGGCTCATTGGACAACATATACTAGAAAATTTGTGGGAAAGATTTAAACTAGCCACCAAGTGGTTAGACACTTACCAGACCTCACAGCACTTGGTGGGTGGGGGGCAGGGGCGGGGGTGGGGAAGATCCAACAATTTGGACAATCACATACTTCAGACACGAAATCACTAAAATGTTTAAATTCTAAAAAATGTCTACTTGAAACTTAAATCCTTGATGCCTCCTCCATATTTGAAATTATATTCTTTTTTCTTCAGAAATTATGCCCAATTTTGATGATTTAGAAAACAGAAAAAAAGTAGAAAGAAAAAAATATAAATGGCAATCCAGTCACTAAAACTCATCTTAGCATTTTGATATATTCCCTCTCATTTCTTCTTTCTACTCATATTTTTGTGTATCATTTTGACCATGTCCTTTATACAATTTTATATGCTGATTGTTTCCACTTACCGTATTTCCCTGTGTTGATACAAATTTTACCAACTACATTTTTACTAGATACATAATATTCTCTCATACATATATAAAAATATATATTATATAATTATATATAATAAATTATAAATTTATATATTTAAATTTAAATTCTGTTATATATAAAATATATGTAATTTTATATATGTATGAGAATATTATATATCTAGTGAAAATGTAGTTGGTAAAATTTGTATCAACACAGGGAACGATAAGTGAAAACAATCAGCATGTAAAATATTGTATGTGTGTATATATACATAATGTATTTGCTTATTCTATTTTTTGGGAACAACAAAATTACTGATATCCTATTATTAACATGTTGGCATACAAAGCTTTTTACATCTTTTTTTCTGCTTTAGGATTGTTTCCTTAAGTTAAACTCCCCAAAATAGGTGCACTAAAAGGTACGAAAAGTTTTAAGATTCTTGATGCATATTGTCAGCTTAGTTTACAAAATAGTTAAAACAGTTTACTTTCTAAAGAAGCCTGTTTAATGTAAACATTTCTGGTAAAACCACTACTTAAAGTTGTGTGAAGCCAATAAGCTGTTAAAAGCAGCCTGTCACACATATAATTCGTACCAAAAAAGTCCTTTATTTTACCAATGCCTCTGCAAAGTTTATAGCAGTTCACTAATATGACATTTGGACTTTAAAACCAAGCTTTAATCAGTAATTTATTAGACACAAAGAGAAGTATATATATAAAATGTGGTCCATATCCTGTAGAATAAACGAGAATTCCACATAGAAATAGTTGTTGGGGAAATCTGGTTGCTGAACTAGGCAGTAAGTGCTGCAATAGCTCAGAGGGAGATGGCACCTGTGTGGACTGAAATGGCTGGGGAAGACAGGTTATTGTCTTCTGGAAGTGGTGGAACCTGACAATGAAGAATGGTGGGACTTAGATACACAGAATAACTGAGAAGAGCCTTCTAGACCTGGAGAACAGCATTCATAAGGATGTTTATCACAGCACTGGAAAATGATGAGACTGGCCCAAAATTTCCAAGTATTATAGACTATATTTGTAAGCTAAATTCTGATGTGATGAGCATCACTTGAAGGCAGGAGTTGAGGCCAGCCTGGGCAACATAGAGAGACCCCCATCTCCTGAAAATCATAAAATAAAATAAAATAAATAATAAATTCCGATGTGCCATTTCCTGATTTGCATTCAAATAAGTCAGTCCTAGGCAGGGAGTGATGGCTTACGCCTGCAATCCCAGCACTTTGGGAGGCCAAGGTGGCCAGGAGTTTGAGACCAGCCTGGCCAACATGGTGAAACCCCGTATCTACTAAAAATACAAAAGTTAGTTGGGAATGGTGGTGCATGCCTGTAATCCCAACTACTTGGGAGGCTGGGGCAGGAGAATTGCTTGAACCAGTGAGCCAAGAGTGTGCCACTGTACTCCAGCCTGGGCAACAGAGTGAGACCCTGTCTCAAAAGAAAAAAAAAAAAGAATTGTTTGTGTCTTGCATATCTAAGTATATTTAAAGAAAATTTACAAATATAATAATCATATAAATTCTTTTCTTGAACCCTTACTATGTAGAAGTCACCCTGCTAAATTTTATAAGGAATACAAGAAACAATAAGGAGAAGGATGTACCCCCAAGTAAATCACAATTTAACTGAGAAAATATGATATATTTGTGCATCTCTGCACAATGGGAATATGTTCTGAGAAATACATCATTACATGACTTCACTGTTGTGCAAACATCATAGAGTATACTTATACAAACCTAGGTAATATAGCCTGTACACATAACAGTACATGTTACTGTACTGAATACTGTAGGCTACTGTAACACAATGGTAAGTATGTGTCTATATAAATATATCTAAACAGAGACAAAGTAATATAATCTTATGGGACCACCATCATATAAGCAGTGGTCATTAACCGAAACATTGTTATGCAGTGCATGACTGCATAGAAACACGTATCTACCAGTGCAAAATTATTTGGCACAACTTTTACAGAGCTTCTATTATCTAATCAGTGTCTTACAAAGAGTGGGCGCTCAATATTTATTTGGGAAATGAATGAAGGAAGGAGGAAAAGACCATTTCCAGGTGGAAGAGCCAGGGGAGAGTCCCAGAACCAGTGGTGATTCAAGCTGGGTTCTCAAGCGTGGTTAAGATTTAGAAGAATTGGGAAGAGATGAGAAACACTGCAGACAAGAAATGCAACAGAAACGTAAAGTATCTATTCTTGGCAAGTGAGATAAACATGTTCTCTGATTGCTAAAAATTAACTTTCCAAAATAGATAAATGTGTTATAACCAGGCACATAGCATAAAATAGCATACACATAGCATAACATGAGCCTACACACACACATAGCAAAAAGTTAACAGTGCCCTCCACCAAGAGATAATTTTAGGACAAGACAAAAAATATATTCTAAAAGATAGCATTGAAAAGTAAATAAATTATATTCCAAAGGAAAAAAAAAAAAAACAAAGAAAGATGTAAAAGATTTTCCCCAATCTTAATGCTTTAAACTAGAATAGTAAGGGATGGAAAATATACCATTTCCTGAAATTTCTAAGAGATTTTAGTGATTGGGATAAATAGTAGCAAAACATTGGTGGATGCCAATTCTCTCCTGTGTAAAAGGTATGTGAGTTCAGTTCTGTGTGATTGCACAACGGTAAAGGTATTGCAAGCGTTCACAGATCACTCACTCTGCACATAATACCTTTGCCCCAAATAACCCTCTGCACCATTTTTTTTTTTTCCACTGAAAACTTTTTATTGGTCTTTTGGATAGAAACGGGAATTTATTTGCCAGGAAGGATGATCCCATCATACTTCTGCTGGAACCAGCGCATGGCCTCCTCTTTGCTGATTCTGTGTTTGGCGTCAATGCAGCCTGTCCTGCGCTTCTTGTCTGCAATGCTGAAACCTGGCCTACCCAGCACCACATAGAAGTCCAGGCCGTAGATA